GTGTTACAATCCGGACCGTGGAAGTTGAAGCGTCGAATACAACGAATGGTTCAGATGTGGCCACAATTTGAACGACTCAGATCTTTGAGATTCGACGGTTAAAAATGTATATGTTTGCCTTTAAAAAGACTCATTTGCTTGGATATTCAGTTGTTGACATAAGTCATATAACCTGTGTGTGTCTGTGCTGTGTTTAACGAATGCATTTGTGCTTGGTGGATTCTGATGAGAGTTGGTATAAGGAATTGCTTGGTTTCGAAAGATGCTATGGAGCGTATAAATTGGATAATCCTTGGATATAATATTTGGGACGCTCAGACCCGTGAAAATGAAAATGTAGTTTCAACACAATCTTCTTTGAAAGCTCCAATAGCAGCACGAAGTGCATCGGGTTGCCTACTGGTTTGAATAAATTATGTTGCAATAGGGTCTGACCTTACCCAGATTGCCCTTAGTGGCACTATGTGGATCCTCAGGGTCGACACCTGCCTTATNAATTATGTTGCAATAGGGTCTGACCTTACCCAGATTGCCCTTAGTGGCACTATGTGGATCCTCAGGGTCGACACCTGCCTTATCTCTCCTGAGCAGCTGGGTTAATTCTCTATCAGAGCGTACAAGGTAGAGTGTATTGTAGCTGCAGTTTTGAGTCTCAACATGGTCCGGAAGATCTCATAGTTGTAAAGGTTGCTGTAAGTGGCAGACGTCTCCGAAAGTGGAGGGGTCTCGCGAGTTGTGTGTCTGACGTAGTGTATTGTGTAGTGTTTTTAAGCTACTTTCAAGTGTTTTTGTAATACAAACATCGGATTGCCCTCAATTGTAAATATATGAAATATATATTCTCTTTTCTTGTGCGAATTTTGTGTTGGTTTGTTGATGCTTAATTGGGCTCACAGTCAGTGACATGTCTTTTGAAATGTATTTTTCAAAGTGCCTTTGTGGGCTGATTTTCATAGAAGTTGCTCTTGGGCTAATATCTTGTACGTAGTAGAAGCCGTGATAAGGCTTCAAAGAGGAGAGGCGATGCCTGTGTCGCACATATCTTAGTGGAAGCCATAATAAGGTTTCAACGGAAGAGGCGATACATGTGTAGGGGCAAGCCTATTATAGTAGAAGTCGTAATAAGGCTTCAACGGAAGATGCGATGCCTGTGGAGAGGCAAGCCTATCGTATTTAGTGGAAGTCGTAATAATGCTTCAAAGGGAGAGAGGAGAGCCTATCTTAGTGGAAGCCGTAATAAGGCTTCCACAGAAGAAGAGACGATGCCAAGAGGAGAGAGACGAGCATGTTGAACTTAGTGGAAGTCGTAGTAAGGCTTCAGGAGAAGAGGCGATGCCTTGTGGATAGAGATGAGCCTGTTTTACTTAGTGGAAGCGATGATGAGGCTTAAAAGAAGAAGAGGTGATGCCCGTTGAGAGGCGAGCCTATTGTACTTTAGTGGAAGCCGTAATAAGGCTTCAACGATAGAGGCGATGCCTGTGCAGGGACGAGCCTATCTTAGTGGAAGTCGTAATAAGACTTCAACAAAAAAAGAGGCGATGCCATGTGGAAAGAGGCAATCCTGTTGAACTTAGTGGAAGCTGTAGTAAGGCTTCAGGAGAAGAGATGATGCCATGTGGAAAGAGGCGAGCCTATTTTACTTAATGGAAACCGTGATAAGGCTTCAAAGAAGAAGAGGCGATGCCTGTGGAGAGGTGAGCCTATCGTACTTTAGTGGAAGCCATAATAAGGCTTCAAAGGGGGAGAGACGAGCCTGTCGTACTTAGTGGAAGCTGTAATAAGGCTTCAACAAAAGAGGCGATGCCTGTGTAGGGACGAGCCTATCTTAGTAAAAGCTATAATAAGGGGTCAATGAAAGAAGAGGCGATGTCATGTGGAGAGAGGTGATTCTGTTGAACTTAGTGAAAGCCGTAGTAAGGCTTCAGGAGAAGAGAAGATGCCATGTGGAGAGAGGCGAGCTTGTTTTACTTAGTGGAAGTCGTGATGAAGCTTCAAAGAAGAAAAGGCAATGCCATATAGAGAGGGCGAATCTGTTGAACTTGGTAGAAGTCGTGATGAGGCTTCGAGAAGAAGACACGATGCCACGTGGAGAGTCGACTCTGTTCTACGCGTGTCATTTATGATTTGACAGCGATACTAGTTCCCAAGATACGACAAGATTGTGGCTTTGATGACACTCCCTTTTTGTATTGTGTGAGCATTAAATGTGCAATGATGATGCTGGGACAGTTGGGAAAATTGAGACGAGTTTGTAGTGCGTGAAAGTGAGGGGTTCATCACAGTCGTTGATTCAAAACTCTAATGTGTGCCTTTTCATTTCAACGTTGTAGATGACAATCCAGTTGTACGGTTGAGATTTACATGGAAATTATTTGAACAGTGGATCCACCATCTTCCTGTCTATAAAAGGGGTGATGAGTGGTAACGTTTGCTCGAAGAACCTTTTCTTCATAGGCCTCCTGGTGGTGGTCTCTGCTTTGAGAGCCATAATGACTAAAGCTCATGGTATATTGTTGATTTAAAACTCTAATGTGTGCCTTTTCATTTCAACGTTGTAGATGACAATCCAGTTGTACGGTTGAGATTTACATGGAAATTATTTGAACAGTGGATCCACCATCTTCCTGTCTATAAAAGGGGTGATGAGTGGTAACGTTTGCTCGAAGAACCTTTTCTTCATAGGCCTCCTGGTGGTGGTCTCTGCTTTGAGAGCCATAATGACTAAAGCTCATGGTATATCGCTGATCCTTGGGTTAACAATTCCTAATAGGTGATTTCTTGATAGCTGGACCTTTCTTCAAGGTATTGCAGTTGCACAATGTCTTCACAGATGGCTTTTACCACTAGGAAGTTCGTGGTTGTAATGTGTGATTTCCCACAAACGACGCCAATATGTTGACCTCAAAAAATGTACCTCCAACATGGCTAACAGATCCCAAGACCACACATCCAGATAAGACGTATTCCTTCACACTAAAACAAACCATTAAACACACGTGGCCTTCTCTGGTTGGGGTGGAGCTGACGGCGCACTCCGACAATCAAGTTAATTTGGGAAAGAAATATATTGAGTGTGGGAGGGCTTTTAACGTGAGCCTTCAATATAAAATAAATGGTGTCGGTGTTGGGAGTCAAATAAAGAACATAGAGAGCAAAGTTATGGTATCAAAGTCTAAACTTGCATTACTTTTAAATGATACTAAGTGTGAGCTTTTAGAATGTGAGATAGTGAGTGTAGATCGTCGGATGGGTAGACACGTATCCTCATCCTCTTAGACTTAACTTCTCATCATGGGCATCAATTAATCACAATGTATTAATGCTAGTGCCAATTTCCCTTCCATAAATTACAGCTTGTTGTAGTAGACTTGACCAAATAGATTGGCTGTGGCGACGATGGCAAAGGGTTGTCATATCAATCATATCAGTAGATCTAATTTGGAGAGTCTTCGACCAAAGGGCCTTGCCTCCCTTCCCTAAGAGGGTTTGATACATATCATGAGTTTATCCAATAATTCAGCCACGAGTCCGCACACATGGGTTTCATCCATGTCGGCCTAATTGCTAGGTGGGACCCAAGCAGAGCCTCTATTGGAGAAGGTATAAAAGCTAACGAACACTCTAATTCATTTATTACTCGACATGTGCAAATTTTCATTTGAGAAGAAAACGACCCAAGAAATGGACAGATTTATTTATTTAAATTTTCATCTAAAATACCAAATATATGTACTTAAAATCACTTATATCTACTTGATATGCTGGTTAAAAAGAGACTAAGAGATGTGTATTTAATTGAGACTTTTAATAATTTTTTGGGATTTAAAAAGTTTAGGAGTATTCAATTGAGACTCTCTAAAAGTATTAATGTATTCAATTGAGACTTTTATAGACTTTTAAGAATTACAATGTATTCAATTGAGACTTTTATAAAATTTTAAAAAGTCTCTAAAAATTACAATTTATTCAATTAAAACTTTTTAGAAGTTTCTATACGTCTTAGGGTATTCAAATTTTAAACTTATAAATAAAAGCCTCTGGAGTACTAATTTTTAAGAAGAAAGTACTCATATAAAATCGTAAAATTTGTCTCTCATTAATCACAAGATTTTGGGAGACTTTCACAGCAATTTTTTTCCCCAATCTTTCATTATTTTTCCTTTTACGGATAAGTATTATTAAAATTTATTTTTTCCTATTGATTATATTTATTTTCGTTTATCTTTCTTTCTCTCTTATTGTTTATCTCTATTTTCTTTTTTTTTTCATTCATTTTTTTGGAAAAAAATTAAATTTTCATTCATTTTTTTTCTTTTTTCATTCATTTTATCTTTTTCTATGAAAAATTAAATTTAAATATATTGAATTTTATTTGTTTTTAAAAGTACATTATATTAATAATATTGAATATTAAATTTATAGTTTATCATATATATGTATAATTTTGATTATTATTTATTTAATTAAGGTCTTAAATTTTTATTCTTTTAATTTTATTTCATTATATGGGAAAAAGTAGGGGAAGAAAAATGGAAATTGTGATAGCCAACATCTCGTATGAGAGAATTTCACATCATTGTACTAGATCTACGTGAATTCCGTTTCAAATGAAAATCTTCAAATGTCTTTCAAATTCTACATAAGTCTATAAAAAATTTATAATGAAATTCGTAAAAGTCTACGAAAGATTTCTACTAATTTCATACAAATTTATAAAAGATCCACGAAATCCATAGAAATCACCACTGAAAAAAAGTCCACCAAAATTTCAAAAGTTTCAAATGAATACACACTTAAAAGAATATATAATTGCTTTATAATTATTACAATGGAATTAATAAATCCAATGGGGCCTTTTTAATTTTTAGTAGGACAAAAAGAGCGAAGAAACAACTATATGGAAAACCATAGCTAGACTAGAGGGGGTGGGTGAGGTGGTGTGGTGACGACTGAACAGTAACCTTGATGTGCAGCAAGACTATGAAATGTGAACAGAGAATGAGCAGTGAGGGGTACAGCGACAACCCGACCAGAGCTCACTCACCAACGCATTTGCCTGTATGTAATGGAGATTCGAACTATTTGTTTCCCAAGAAACACCAAAATACATACACATACATCCCACCCCCATGGTGTGTTGTATGTATTTGTATGTATACCCTTTCCTTCTCTTTTACATGGTTTTTGGAGTGGTAAAATATGAGACAGCAGTCACAGCACCTAATCCTAATTTTCTGATCTTGTCTTGGTCCATTCTCATGTGTAAATCTTGGATTATTAAGTGAAAATACATTTATTTAGTTGTACATTTGTTAATTCTAAAAAGGGACTTCTTGTTTTTAAAGTCCCAGGATTTATCTCTTTCATCTTTACTCTCTCTTGTTCATAATTCACAAGTGATAGCTTGTTTCTCCTTTTTATTCACTAGGGTTTTTACTTTATATCTTCCTACTTGTTTAAATTTGGTGTTTTTGTTCAATCTTCACCTTTTCAACTTTCTCTATTCACTTCTATTCTTGTTTTAGCCCCCATCCCCCCACTTTTCTTCTCTCCACAATTACCTATTTTCTACTTTTCATCATGACTAATCCATATCCTAATTACTTCAATGGAGGATGGTTCAATCTCGAGTACCCTAATAATCACTTATTTTCTTCCAGTTATCCTTACAATCTTGATTATGCCACAAGTTTGAACAACAATTCTTTGTACCAATCCTCACCCCCTTCTCCTCCAATCAGAGAAGCTCTTCCACTCCTCAGTTTGGGCCCAACAAAGACAAGTACAGATCAAGAACAAGGTTCATCATCTTGCAGTACGGCCATGGAAATGGACAAGATCATGATCAAGGACAACAATGAGGAAAGTTTCATGATGGATTTTGATGATGAATCCGTAACTATTGATTTGAATTTAGGACTTCCTACACCAGATGCAGCTGATCTGATCTCAGGGCTTTCCTCTTCTTCAAGTACTAACAAGGATCAAGAAGTTACTGTTGCTAATGGATATGGCTCTAGCCCTATCAACAAGGGTCAGTATTGGATCCCAACCCCTGCCCAGATTTTGATTGGACCTACTCAGTTTTCGTGCCCTCTTTGCTACAAGACCTTCAATAGATATAATAACATGCAGGTATGTTAGTTACGATACTAAATGCTCTAACTTTTTCTTAATTTCACCTCTCCTTTCCCTTAATGTTTTGCCCTTTCGATTTTGCAGAAAAAGAGGAAACCAATCGCCCTCTTTATTTTGTACACATCTTTTCTATTGTAATTTCAACCTTTCACTTTTTAATTTGTTGGATAGATAGGGCCATCGGTAATTAGACGGGTCCTTAAGGTTAATTTTCAACAATTTTTTCTCATTCAATTGTTAATATCTTCTTTCCCTTTTCTCTTTTTTTAATGCATGACTTGATGGTTTTTTTGGGATCTGTATAAATCTACCTGATCGATCTGGTCAGTGTCTCTCTTTCTTTGATTGAACAACACAAACATTATGTTTTTTGTCCTTGAAGTTCGTATTTTCACACATTGGCTGTTGTGTCAAACTGAACATTTTTCAGTTTCTTTATTCCTGGGTTCAGATTATTTTCATCAAAGATCAGGAATAAGAAAAAGGTTTCTCAATCTGAACACTCAACCTTAATACAACAAAACCCACCTCAAAATACATAGAAAATCCCGCACTTTTGTTGGTTTATGTGTAATCAAGATTCTAAAGACTTCATACTGATGGAAACACGAAAACCCCACACATAGTATTGCTTTCTTTGTGAATCAGAAACTCTCAGTAGCTAAAAACAGTGTCCTTTAGTTCTTTAGTTTTGAATCTGGCAAACAAACCAAAATAGAAATTCAAACAAAAATTCTACATTGTAAAAGCATGACAATCTCCAGATGCATGTTCTTGTTCATTTTAGGTGCATGGTTATTATTGCCAAGAGGCTTCTTGATTTAGAAAACTTCTTTTAGCACTTTTGTTGAGTTGAATCAAGCATATTAAAAATAAAAAAAGAAGTTTAGTAGCGCTCAATCTTAATGTGTTGTTTAAGTATAAGACTACTATATTAATGAAAATTTTCTGTATTAATTCTTCCCTTTTGGAATATTTTTACTTAGATGCATATGTGGGGGCATGGATCTCAGTATAGAAAAGGACCAGAATCTCTAAGGGGTATACAGCCAACAGCCATGCTTAGGCTCCCTTGCTATTGCTGTGCACCAGATTGTAGAAACAACATTGACCACCCAAGAGCAAAGCCCCTCAAAGATTTCAGAACCCTTCAAACTCACTACAAAAGAAAACATGGAATTAAGGCATTTACTTGCAGGAAATGTGGAAAGGCCTTCGCTGTGAGGGGTGATTGGAGAACCCATGAGAAGAATTGTGGGAAGTTATGGTATTGCACTTGTGGCTCTGATTTTAAGCATAAAAGGTCTCTTAAGGATCATATCAAGGCATTTGGAAATGGCCATGCAGCTTATGGTTTTGATTCCTTTGAAGAAGAGGATGAACCAGCATCTGAAATTGAGCAAGATAATGAATCTTCTCAGTAATTTGTATGAAAATCTAAACACTGTTGAGGTCTAGATCTAAGTCGGAGGGAAATGTGCATGAGTATCAGTTGAAGAGCACATTTCTTAATTTTCTTTGTTAGCAATTTCTTATGTTGTTCCCATGAGTATTATCAACTGATGAACACAAAAGTCTGTCAAGAACAATTTCCCTTTGACGCTTGTGTCACTGTTTATATCTATTTCTTTTCCATTTTCTGATCCTAACTGATAATTTCAATTTCTTTAATGTTTTCGGGGGGGAAAAGGATGGAATATGTTTGGAAGTTATTTGTCCAATTTGCATTCTTGGTAAGAAAATTATAACAAGGTAAGTTATATTTCCGATAACATTTGATGACTGTCACCATGTGTGGTCCCGTTAGGTGTTCTCCTTGTGTCAAGACTGCATGAAGGAACTAGCATTGGTCTAACCAATATTCTAGCAAGAAGTTTAAAGTCAACTTAATACACTTTTCAAAGAACATTAGGGCCTTGCCAAAAAGCTGGTGAAACAATTAAAAGACAAATCTCTTCGCAGACATACAAGATTCATTTTCAGAAAAAATTAGGTGACGGTAAAAAATATAACACAGACGTTTCTGTGTGGGCTTAAAAATAAGCTAAATTTTATGCAAAATTATTTGTCACGCACCGAGAGTACTCCCCTCTCTCTCTGTATGGCACGATAGAGTCGTCAACAGTTAGGCGTATTAAAACATGCGTGTGCTGATTGGTTCGAACTTGTGAACATATGAATGAGAAGAAGGCTGCCCAGCGCAGCGGAGTGGAGCTCCAGGGACCACGGAGGTCCATTAAGCAAGGTGATGTTTGCGAGATTAATCAAATTCAATTTTGCTACTTGTACAATCTGCTTTGCAGATGCTTTGGCAAATGGAAACAAAAAAAGAGAACAATTTGACCAAAATTGAAAAAAAAAGTTTGATAGAAATTGTTTTTTCATTTTTTTTTTTTACCCAATTATGCGTCGACACGTACCCCTTGTTTTTTAGCATGTCGTTGAACCTGTCACAGTAGTAGAATTGATGTTTATATGTGATAATTGACTTTTCTTACACATTGAATCCTAACTAATCTATATTTTCTTTATATTGTCATACTTCATTAGTGGTAACGCTATCTCGGTTGATCAATTTCCTTAAAATAGATCTAGGTCATGTTGTTAGTGGTATGACTATCTCGGTTAATCAACTTCGTGTAAAATAGATCAAATGCAGCTCTTAGGTTAAATATTTGTAAAAGAGTTCTTTAGATTGATGAGAAACTCTTTGATGAAATTAAGCATAGATGGGTGGAAAGATTGCTTGATTGCTTTCTTTGCATATAGAAAGCCCTAGGTGGAATATATTAGATACAAGTTTAAACCAACTATGGAACTTAACGGGATCATATTCAATTACTGCTATGCATATGAATAATTCAAGTGTGACAAAAAGGTTTGATCTTGCATATTACAATCCCAAATTGTCAGGAGTCAAACCTTCGTGGCAATGTGAGCCCTTCGAAAGACACTTTTTTATTCTTAAAGTAACTTTTATGTGTTGAAAAACGTCTGTTTCACTCGACACCACTGAATTGTTGAAGGAGAATTTTGTTCTAACTCTTGCTCTATGTTTGGGTCTTATAGTCAAGCTTTATTGTATCTTTTTGCAACCAAGAGCCATCTCCGTCCAACCCTAGAAAATTTTTACACACTTTTTTTGCATAACTTGATCGCATTATCCCACTACATAAAGCACTATAATTGACTTTTCAATGACAAGTGCTTGTCAATTGTCATTGAGTATCTAAACCAACCACTACAATAGATCAAGGTGTCAATGAACACACCTTCCTTTATTTAATCGTCTTGACTATTTTAAAATACTTGTTGATTTGATAGCTCGACAAAGATCGATAATGATTTTGATTTATGAGTCTATGCCATAGCAACCATTGAAGAGTCATGTCTCACTTCAAACTTTTGGACAAAAACTTAAATGAGGAGCAAAACTTAACTTTATAATATAAATTGAACACATAGGAGTCGAGTGATTATTTAGCTAAAATTTAGATAGGTTTTGTCGCTAAGCACTGATTGTGTAACAAGACATTGATGACCAACTTGATCCTTTTTTTAAATATAATAAGAAGAAGGATAAGAATCGTGGATAGAGAACTATACTAGCAACCTACTCAATTTATTGTAAAATTTTGGATCAATTATTAGACCATGCAATCTAGAAATATTTTTTTTCTTGGATAAAGGGACAGATTACTCGATCTACTCTACTGGGAGTGGGAAGGCTAACAGAATTCCTATCTGTTAAATCGATCATACGCAGACTAACAATAACAATAGGTTGAAGAGCATTGGTGCAGTCTTCCCATACGTGGGTGTGTAGGGAGTAATTAATATTCGTACAAGTTGATTTTGATAGAACAGTAACAAAATTGTACTTTACTGAAGAAATGGTCTTCAGTATTCAAATGTTCAAGTGCAATGCATCATTGTATCATCTGTCACCAGCTACTTTATTAATGAAGTTCCTTTTCTTTGACTGACAGTAATTAAGATTTCATCAGAATCTACTGTAACCTATTTTGTTTGTTATTGTTGGATATGCTAGGAATAATGAACCTGTTTCAGATCATTTATTTTTTATCAAATTCAGTTTTTTTCTTCTTCATTTTTTTAATACTATTTATTTGCAGTGTCTTCTTTTTTTTTTTTTTTTGTGAAGTAACATTTAAAGGATGGACGTACTCTGATATAGTCTAGTTCAAATTAGAACCAGAGTAGACGAAAGACACAAAACATGTTATGGAATCAAACTTGACCTGAATCGAGCAGAACAATGAACATGTTTCGAATCATTTATTTTTCATCAAATTCAGTTTTTTTTCTCTTTTTTTTTTAATACTATTTATTTGCAGTGTTTTTTTTCCCCCTTTCTTATCTTTTCTTTCTGTGAAGTAGCATTCTAAGGGTGGACGTACTCTGATCTAGTCTAATTCAGATTAGAACTAGAGTAGACGAAAGAAACACAAAACATGTTATGGAATCAAACTAAACGTAAAATGACTGCTTGATTCAAGTGTTCTAATTACGAACGTAGAATCAAATTACATAAATCTAATTAGGGTTGTGCTTGGTGTTCATAAAAAATGTATATAAAGGTGGAGGTAACCCCCTTCCCATGTAATTTTTTATGAGGGGTGTGGACACCTTTATATACATTTTTTATGTATACTAAAATTTATCTATCTAGTTATTGGTGCTTTAAAATTTGGATACAAAAGATTGTCCTGAGGTAGGCTCCATCCCATGTGAAAAGTGTGGATACCCCTATATATATTTTTTATATATACTAAGACTTACCCATCTAGTTATTGATGCCTTAAAATTTGGGTGCAAAAGATTTGGAACAACTGAATGTAAATGAAATTAATTTTAATTGCGTGAGAAAAAATAAATGTTTCACAGCCAGAAATGAAATAATCGAGGAAAATCACATCATTTATTGGCGACATACCATACATTTCTCCGCTATATATAACAATCAAGACAACCGACAAAATCCCGTAAAATCGTTTCACAAAAATACGTATAGAACAAAGAAAAAAAATACAAGAAGCTATGGTTATTTCTTGCATATTAAACAGGAAATTTAGGAAATACTTTATCCTTTTACACGTACAAAATTACAATCTTTAAGCGGCCTTTGTCCAAAGTAGAAACTTTGGTTTTTGATATTTGCTTTAGGTTAAAGTAGAGAGACAGCATCAATTTGGAGATTTTGTCTGTAACCTTTAATGAAAACTGCGAAAAACTAAACGATCATACACAGCCAAAAGACCGAAAATAGAAAGGCCTGAAACCTTCAATTAGCACAATAAATTGATTTTTAGTTATTTTACATGAAAATAGTTTTTCAAACAATCTCGCAGTATCTTGTGAGCTGTGATGCATAGAGACGAAGTGCATTATAGCCGAAAAAGGCAGAAGATAGTATGATTTTCTTCCCTTGTTCTTGTTGCAAGTTTGTTCGTGACGCCTGCTCATGCGCCATGGAATGCAAAAGCAACACCTACAAGCTTAAATCCTCCGGTAAGCTGATCTCAAGAAAATACAGGCTGCGAAATGAAGGGAAAAAAAATTATTTATTCTTCCTGGGATGAGGCCACGAGGGCATAAGAGGAGGAGGAAATGCAAATAAAAGAAGAGATGGAAAATCTAAACCGTAATTCATAACGTGGCTAACCATGGAAGCCGAAAGTCGAAAGTTATCAAAAGAATAAGCAATTGAAAGCTAGCAGTTTAGAAACTAAGAGAACTTCTGAGTCTACTTTGCTTCATCAAAAACTGAATCTTTGAACTTTTTTCACTTCCTGTTTTTACAGTATTGGCAGCATTGTGACAATTGCCTAAACACGCTCATTCAATCTTAAACAGCTAAAAAAACTGCAATCGTTTTTGGGGACTGGGGAGTAATGAAGCTAGCAATGTTGTGAAATGTACAAGCAGTTGAGTTCCAGTTAAATAAAATTTATTATTCATTCAGAAGTGCTATTAATATTTAGTCAAAAGTAGAGTACCTAGCAGACATGAAAGCCATTCCAAAGAAAACGGCCTTGACAGCTTGCTTTTGTCCAGCATAATCAAACGCCAATGGCAGCATTTCGTGCAGTGTTAGAAAAGCCATCACCCCGCCAACTGGAGGTAGCAGAAAATCCATCATATAAAATGTCACAAGGATTAAACCGTAGAATCTCCTTTAATCAGTTAATAAACCTTGAAAACATGTTAACCTGATCCCAGGAGTCCCTCCAGAATTTCAGGACTTAAGCTGCTCGGGAATAGATAAGCTGCAGATTATTTACGAGTATCAAACATATGAAATCTGGAACTTTTGACATTTATTTGATTATCAATATATTTAGGATTAAGTGCAAGGGACGGACCTACAATAATTACACCAAGAGGTTCAGCTAAGCCAGAAAGGGTAGCCAACTTGAATGCTTGCCATTTGCTAAGATAAAAATGCAAAAATACCATATACATTGTGAATACAGAATTTGAATAAGAGCAATGCCCTGCGTACAGGGTGCTATTCCATAGGGGTCTTACAAACCCCTCACTGTAGCGGCAAGTTGGACCCACCGACATGTATTAAAAACAATGTTTTGAAAACCGACCCGATCATAAACCCGGCAAAGCTAAAGGGTCAAGGGTTGAAAAGTTCAATCGGAGTCAAACCGGGGTCGACCCGTTAATAATAAATAAAATAATTAATATATAAATTTATCAAAATAATTTGACAATAGCAATAAGAACATAAGATCACAACATCATAATCAAAATAAGACCTTAACAAAACAATATAATCATAATCAACCCCTTTTTCATCCCCTTCTTTTTACATGCCATATAATCATATCAGGGATATTCACCAAATCATGTAGCTTAATCAAAATAATCAATAGCAATATCAAAATAAGAACTTAGGAGAACAATAATACCAAAAAATTCCAGATTTTTCTTGAATCACTTCACAAGACTTGATTAGATTTTTACTAGAATTAAACATTAAAAAATTCTGCAAATTAATAAGAAAAAGAAACAAAATTGAATATTGAACTAACCATTTTTAATAATTCACAGTGAATAGAGTTAATGAATCAAAGCAATGAAAATATTTTCAGTCCCTCCACTGCATTGATACCTTGGTTGATAAGTGGAGAAGATAGTCCCAATCCCACATCGATTTTCTTGAAATAAAGGACCGGAGAAGCCAGTTATAAAATGGTTGGTCACGCTCAGATGGCTTTGGTATTGGGCTTTAAAACTTGGGCCTAACAAAGAATTTTATTTTTAAAAATTAATAGGAAATTATTTTTGCCAAAACCGCTAAAACCGGTTACGGGTCAACCGATTTTACGTATTTATGTAAGCTGCCAACTCCAGATAACTTATTTTATTCTACCTAAGAAATACACCTTCTTATTCGATGAATTTTTTTTCCAACAAAAAAGGGAACGAACATTGCTACCATAACATCCACTTCTCTTTTCCTCAAATCTTAGGTTATATTACTAGCTATCATATCATGATACAAAGTGAAGTGGCAGGAATTTCGTTACCAAGGCTTAATCATACTTGATCTCTGTAATTCAAAAGTCAAAAACTAAAATACAACTCAGCACAAATGAAAAATAGCTTTCATATGCTAGGTTCATTTACTCCACTTATGTTGAAGTATCTAAACTTGAACAAAAGAAGCATATTTAAGTTATTATTTTCACATTATACCTTTCCGTGGCAAAATAAACAGGAAGTGCAACCGCAACCCCCTGAAAATTAGAAAACCCAAGATGTCAGGACGAAAAGCAAAGATTATGCATACTGTTCCTGGAAGTATGTAAAATGTGCATTCAAATGTGGCACGTCACCATCTGTTGATGCATTGAAATATGCAGGGGAATTATGGAATAAATAGTTTGCATTTTAAAGATATCTTTTTCCACTTCTCACGTCTTATTGGAGAAAAACAATCTAATTGGATCCTTGGGTGCAACTCCAATTAACGTTGAGACAATATGGACAGTATTGAGAACCTAGTAAACTCAAACTCAGGAAAAAAAACTTATTCTATGAGCATACAAAAGACTAGTAACTCAAACTCAAAATAGTTGTTCTGCTATTAATTTTTAAATAAATTGTATGTAGTTGAACCGGTCCACCAATTAGTTTTTGTATCTCGGCAGTAAATATGCACAGCATGGCAACTAAAACTGAAGCTGAAGAGCACACAAGAAACAATTCACCTTGTGAATACTCAAAAACGGAAACCTGGTTAGTGTTGGTAATCCAATATGTAATGTGCAATGTTAGTAAGTAACTGTAAGTATCAATTTGAATGTAGGTAAATGTTTTTAAGCAAAATTGTTTTGACAGATTTAATCCACCGAAATAAAAATAAAATTAAAAATACCCCCAGTAATTTGGAACAGTTCAGAGATTCTTTCATTTTTACACTGTATTTGGCGAGAACACATGCAACTGTGGAATTGCTTCAAGGAATCGGCCAATATTGATATTTTTCCAAATTTTTATATTCCAGAAGTTCCCATTGAGAGCTAATTTAAGACAATTTATATATTCATCCATAGACCTTATGATTTTCACGTTAAACCAGACAAAAGAGAGGAAACAGAAGATTCTTTTTCTTTCTTTCTCTTTCACTCAGAAGCTATGGAAGGTTGTCTATGACTTCTGTCAAAACCTAAACAGGTCCATCATAAAGGAAACTGGGCCAAGATATAAACGGAATCAAATTGCCATATGGATCCTGCACTCACAAGGCATCTAACGCAGTAAAGATGCAGATTTCTTATTCTGCATGTAAAATTTTGTGTATTCATACATATATGCCTTATGAGGACAATTACACATCACTATATGAATCAGAATCTATGTCATGCTGGAACACAGATATTTAAAAAAGGCCACAACATCAACACAAAAGAACATTATAATTAGATATTGAGAAAAATACCTCTGGGATGTTGTGTAAAGCAATAGCTAATGCCAAGTTCAGCCCGACTCGAAGACCCTGAGAGAGATGAATAAACAGTCAGCTTAAGAGTTTTTAGCTAGTTAACCTTTGGTCCTTCAAAAGCATATGTCTAACATTCCCTTATAAACAATCTTGCAGGAAAAGTGGCAAATAGAATTTATGCCATTTGGCATCTCGATACTACACTTCTTAAATTGAAGACTCTATTGACATTATTATTGAATATATAAACCAACATATGATCACAGCAATTTTTTTCACGCAGACTGTCAATTCAACCCAGAATCACCATTTCTGAATTCAGAACTTCTATTGAGATGCATTTAATGAAAATACTCAAAAAGGCCACTCTTCCCGGTTCTGAGCATCAATCAGAAACTCAAAGTGGCATCTAAAATAAGTTATGGATAGCGCGATAACCTAACTCGGCACCACTACACTTGACTGTTAGAAAGTCACGTGGATTATAGGAGAAAACAGTTTGAGGGGTAAAATAGATACAGAAATAATTTTAATTTCACATACAGAGACTAGAAGAAAAGTATATATACCTTGATTGACCCAAGGAACACTGCCATTCCCTCAGGAAAATTGTGCAAGCTTATGCCTGGGAAGAAAAAGGAATGGTAAATAGCTTCAGTCTGAGGGAAACATATCAACATACTTAGAAACTTGAAGCAGTAGGAATTACAACAAGGAATCTGCATTGTAATTCAAGCAACCAGCAGCCATCCTTTTTCCGCCGACTGAAGTGAACGATGAATTTCAATAACCAATCAAATTTCATTACAATCAATTTATTACAAGCCAGTAAGAGGAAAAAGAAAATATGCAATACTGCTTTAGCAAAAGTTGGATACATATTTCCTGAAATAAATAATATGCAGAGAAAAACACTATTCAACATTATAAAGCATTAGTCGTCCATTATGTTACAAAGTTGGATACTAAAAAGTTACAGGTTAAGTATATGGCCTCATACCATATCATCATTAATGATGTATAATATGTTCCATAGCTGAAACCAGAACGTATGAGAATGATAAAATCTTACACAAAGTTCAACCTGGCAAAAACCAACACAAACTGCTCAAACTGACCAACCCAACCCCACCCAATCAATTTGGTTTGGTTTTTAAGTTCATTTGGGTTGGGTTCGGGTTGAAAAATCAAATTTGAGGTCGGGTTGTGTTGGGTTTCAGGTTATGAATTAAAACCCAACCCAACCCGATGAATTAAAAAATTAATACCTAAAATGAGAAAACCTAAACGACACATTAGTAGAGATAAGAGAAGTATATAAAATGTACAAACGTCCCTTTTTTACATAGGCTGACTAGCATGAATACTATATACAAAGCTATTTGACGATAAACTAAAAATTAAGGACATGATAATAAAATGAATGAATCAAAAAAATAATATTAATGAATAAATAATAATAATAATAATAAAATAAAAAAATTGTAAAAAAAAAAAATAAATGCTCCATAATTTCAAACTGATTTATTAATTTTTTTTTCTAAAGAATTATTTATAAAAGGAATGAATCCAAAAAAAATTGTAAAAAAATAAATGCTCCATAATTTTAAACTTATTTATACATTATTTTTTGAAAGAATTCTTTATATAAATTAAAAAGAAAGAAGAATTTCAAGTGGCTTCAAACTTTAAAAAAATTGTCCAAATTTAACAAAAAATTCCAGAATCCAACTAGTTTTGGAGCCAAGTCCAAATCGACCCAAGCTTGATCGGTTTGGGTTGGGTTGGGTAAGATCAAACCGATCATATTGGCTTGGGTTTGGGTTGGACAAAAAATTGACCCCGACCCAACCCATGCTTAGCCCTGCCAAATAGTAGAGAATCTAAATATGAAAATTTTTGTAGAAAAAATTGTTTATCTTTACATTGACTACCAACAACCACCTGAAACTTGAAATGGGCTGGGGTTTATTCAAACCTAGGACTGGATTGCTAATCTTCTTTAAAGTCAAAAGGACTTATCTCAACTCAAATGATCACAGCTGTTATTCCTTATATTTGGATAAGACAGATCCTGTTTTCTTATCGTGCTCTTTCTATCAATGAGAATACAAGTCAAAAGGAAATTTCTAACTATGATTAACGAGTTGTGGTTTATGGAAGTGAGTATTTTGAAGGACAAAATATCCATAGTTAAAAGTAGTGGCAACTACATTAAATGGATACAACAAAAAATAAGAATATATGCAACAAATGGTAGTGGAACAAATTAGAGACAAATTAAAGGAAAGAAGACTTTTTGGTGACTGCCAACTTGTCTTGCATTAGACTAAAAAAGCTCAGTTCATAAGAGTCGTAAAATCCCAGGAAAATAGGTTAGAAGAGAGAGATGGATCAAAATTAATATGATCAGATGCGTCTAAAAGATTATAATTTCATTGAGTCTTTTCACAAAAGAAGCAAGGGCCAAATGAAATTGTGAAGAAGCACTCATGTAGCTTGTCTCAAATTTATTGAAAAAAAAAAACACTTAGTTTGTTATTCTTGTTGTTGCCCTTCCTATCAAGGATAATCTCCACAACTGAAACATAAAGGACCACATCCTTTATAATTATCTGTTGCATACGATTTTAGGTTAATTTGTTCCTCTAAATGCATGTTTGGGAAGTGTTTATAAATGTTTTAAATTATAAATGATAGAAATTAGTGGTGGATAAGTGGGTATACTTGTTGGTTCCTCGAAATGTGTGAATAAAAAGTCCAAATGTAGTCTAAGTTTACTTATATAATAGTCACGTTGCTTTTTCATAACTGGAGCCTCCAATGAATTATATTGAATGTGCTCTAACCACATCAATGCGTTTTCACATAATTTATCTTGTGGCCAAATAATGGAAAACTTTTTGTCTTCTACGAATTTATTTAATTGTTTCACTCCTTAGAAGTTGCAAGAACATTGTACAAGTTTCACACAACAATTCATGCAAATTTCATGCGGCCAATCTTTCCAATACCAGTCTCCCAGCAAATAAGGAGAAGATCAATTAATCCAAAAGATATTTTTCCCTTTGCTTAACTGTTTGAAACTATATTCCAAATGAATTCACACTAACTATAACAAACAACAGGATATCACTAATCATAATCTAGAGGAAGGTGAAAAATTAACACAAAAGACTGACCTATTGCAGTAATGATTCCACTAAACAATACTTGGCGGCGATGCTTTTTCATCATATCCTTGCCCCCTTCATCCCCATTTTTCTGTTGTCAAGCATAATATATATCATTTGAAATTTTACCAAAAACTATCAGTCTATCACAGCAGTAGCAAGCTCTGATGACATATCCATTCATTGACAGAAAAAGTAACTTTAAACCTTTTTGCTTTTCACATCAGAAATGGGAGCAAGTGTTGGTTCAGGGATGAAATTAGCAACAATGGCAAAGAAAATGACACCTGCAAAGAACTGTGAGGCCAATAGATCAGAAATTTACACTAAATAGTTTAATCAAATATAAAACTGATAAAGCAATGTAGCACAATTATAAAAAGATGTCTCACCCAGAGATTTCCCTTTAAGAAGCCAATGGAGTTAATGGCATTATGAGCCAAATCTAAGAAAGATATGCTTAACATGAGACCTGCTGCAAAACCCTGATTTCAAGGGATATTGAAGTTAAGCCTATATAGCCATTGAAACATGAAAGACGTTATGAAGTTATGGGAACTGAAAAGGCTGTCGATTGATGATCATCTTTCTACTGCTATATGTCTATGTAACTATCATTTCAAATACATTCCTATTCTAGTGATTTCTTTAGTAAACGGTTTGGCTCGACACCCTAGAAAGAAAATAATATGGTAACAAATACCATTTGGCCTTACCTGCAAAAGACCAAGCATCTTCAGATTTGGTGTCGGATTAACGACGACGAAAAAGGCACCTGTTGAGAAACAAAATAAGCTTAAGTTATATTTTATCTGGCTTAAATTGTATTGCAGCAACTAATAAAAGGATTATCCTAATCTCGAAACTAAATAACCCCGTTGAGTTATACTATTGTCTGCTAAAGACCTAAAGTTATCCATAGTAGATGCAAGTTCAAGAAATACATCAACATAATTCCAAAAACAGCTTCAAAATATCATAAAGCTTAAAACTTGAAGCTAAAAGCTGGGTCGAACCAACATCGCTCAATCAATATGTTGATTCTTTGTTTTCACAATATCATGATTAGTTAGGTCAATGAACAAAAACATGCTGAATTGACAATCAAAAAAATATATATATAATAATAATAATAATAACCAATAAATCCATGTAAAGTTCTTGTATAGAAAAAAAAAAAAAAAAATTCATCCAACCATATAAGTCCAAATTTACTCACCAATAGAGGTGCTCAAGCCACCCAAAAGCGAAAGACAAAGAGCAACTAAAACTTGCGAGTCCATTAAAACCCCTCTTCTTCAAAACCCCGAACTCCCAAAATTCTCGGATTCAAAATTTAAGATAATTTCTCGATCATCTTCCTCTCCTCCACCTTTAATAATATTTTGCAGAAAGAGTTGGTGGGTTTTAAGATAAACGATAGCAGTAAAAAATCTTGGCTTTAAATGGTTTTATTCAAATATCAACTGGATTAAAAAAACATTAATGGCACTTGAGAAGCAATGGACTGCTTGGAATTTCACTAAATGTAAGAAAAGCATACACACAGCAGGGAAGAGAATATGTACAGTAAAAGAAAGAGATTGTTTAGGATGCACGGTTCAAGAAATGTTTAAAGAATCCTTCGGCAAAATCAACGATTTTGTTACCGTCGAATGGTGTCATCTCGGGCCGGGCCGGGCTCGGGCTTCACTCGTACGCATGATAGGGGCTTGGCATGGTCATACACTCATGAGCTTCAAGAATCGAGTTGAAACATCATTTGAAGGGTAATTTATTGGACATTAGTTAAGCATACAAGTTTTTGTATGGTAGAGTGGGTGGAAACTTGATCATTTTGTCATCCCTAATTAATCGTACTATTTTTGTTTGTTTCGATTTCATCGTGCAACTTATATTTTTATTTTATTTCTCCAACTATGATCAAAATGGATGGTTTGTCCAATGTCATCGATGGAATGTGTGACCAAATGCTCCTCGCAGGCATTACAAGTTTTCAAAAAGTCAAAATTGCGCATGTCCATATTTGGTTCTCATTATTTCAAAATTCATTTTTTTAAACTCATTTTCGACCGTAAATTCTTACAATAAAGTCTGTATTTGAGCTCTATTATAATTCATTTTTGGAAAAATATATATTTTTTAATAATGATTTTTTGAAAGATGTATGGTTAAAAAAGGGGGGAAATGGATTTACATATAATATTATTTTATTGAATAATGTGTAATTCAAAAAAAAAATGCATTTTTAGAATTAATGGAGCCCAAACAAGTGCAAAATATTTTGCGTGTAAACCCAAGATCTTTTTTTCCCTTTTAATCACATATTCTATGAAAATTCAATATTATAAAACTTATTGATGAAGTAATGGACATCAAACAGGGGCTAAATTTCATTCGCAACCAACAACCATTACAAAAAATTTTGATTTGACTTGGTTGAGTCATTAAGCTCTTGTTTGAGCCTCATTTTTTCCATCAAAATATATTTTTTAACAGTAATTTGACATTATTTCAATCACGTGTTTTTCAATAAAATAATTATTACATGTAAATTCAAATTTTTTCTTTATTTTTTAATCACACATTCTCCATCACAACACTACTTCAAAATGAATTTTCTTAGAAAAATAGGTCTCAAACAACCCTTAAATTTTATTTTCAATTTTAAATTTTACTACTGTTATAATGTTATATTTAGTCACATATTGTCCTCCAAACCACTAAAAATTGCTTCTTTGACAATCTACCGTAATTAATCTTCCACATAATNTGTTATATTTAGTCACATATTGTCCTCCAAACCACTAAAAATTGCTTCTTTGACAATCTACCGTAATTAATCTTCCACATAATCGATAAGTGACACATTAGAAGTGAAAAATGGTTGCTATAACGTCTTTGATTTAAAACGCTAAAATGTTTAGTTAGAGATACAACATAGATAACTTTACGAAGTCGATAATTCGACTCTTATAATATTATCTAGAATAAGCTACAATCCCAATTTTAGTAAGATCTTCTTTGAAATTTCTAATCGAGTGTTGGTGAAATCCAACTAAATTGTCAAACTCTAGATTTTGGTCTTGGATCCAACTTTGGTTACAAGGCCACTTACTATTATAGTAATAGAGTCAAATTAATTAGGCATCCAATTTCAATTTTGTAAATGTTTCAAACCTAACTAAATTTTCCTAGAGACTATATAAAGCAAAGACCACTGCTTCATTTTTCATGCACAAAATCAAAAATGGCAGACTTTGAGTGTAAAAATAGTAATTTGGGTGTGTTTGAACCTGGTAATTTGAAGGTACAAACCATTAAAGTGAAGAAATCAGATTCTTCTCCTCCTCCTCCCACCCAGCTGTACATCGTTGCACCTGTTTCAGAAGGGACTTATCCTTTGTTACTATTCTGCCATGGCTATTGTGTTCAGAATAGTTGGTACTCTCAGCTCCTGCATCATATATCCTCCCATGGATATATTATTGTTTCTCCTAAGGTACACTCTCCCCCTCATGGCACATACACAGTAGAGAGATCTTGACTGATGTTATCATAAGATAAAAGTTTTAGTGGATACACAACGCGATTATAATGATGTGCTATGTTTTTGTAGCTTTACAAGTGCATGCTCATTGCCCTCAATAATGAAGTAAAGACAGCAGCCAAAGTCACAGACTGGCTATGCACGGGCCTTAGATCTGTGCTCCCACAAAAGGTACAACCAGATCTCTCCAGAGTTGCTCTTTCGGGCCATGGGAGAGGTGGTAAGATAGCATTTGCTCTCGCATTAGGCCATGTCCCGACCTCCCTCAAATTCAAGGCACTACTAGGAATCGACCCTGTTGCCTGCCGTAACCCACCAACTTGGCCAGAACCCGAAATCCTCACCTATGTTCCTCGCTCTTTCGATCTCTCAATCCCCGTTGGGGTGATAGGCACTGGCTTGGGTAATCAGCCGAAGTGTATGATGCCACCTTTCGCCCCAAATGGAATTAACCATGCAGAGTTTTTCAATGAGAGCAAACCACCTTGCTCTTATTTTCTCGCCATGAATTATGGCGGATACGATATGCTGGATGAATCGAAGGCGGCTTTGGCCAGTTTGGCGTGTAAGAGTGGAAAGGGTTCCAAAGCATTGATGAGAAAGGGTGTTGGAGGGATTGTTGTGGCATTTCTTAAGGCTTACTTGGGAGGTCAAGATGATGATCTCAAGGCGATTGTGGATGCACCTACAATTGCTCCTATAACTCTTGATCCAGTTATTTTTGTCAAAGAATGAATGGTCAATGATTTTTTTTTTTTTTTCAGTAACTGTATACCTAAGGTGTTGAATTATTTGTACTTTGTTCTAAAGTTTGTCCTATCTAATTATTAAACTTTAATAAAACGGAGTGAACATTACATTTTATTATGTTGATCACACTATAAAATCACTCCCACAAAAGAACACCTCCCCGCCCTTCTCCGTGTTTCCCTTGGTGGACAGTCATAAAAAGTACAAGATAACCCAAGAATGCGAGTACTTTTATCTTTCAACTAGTAGCAGAACAGATAATAACATTAGATAACAGAATCTGGGTCAATAACAGTTATTTGTATAAGAACCAGCCGATATTCGGTCACACAAAAATTGACTTGTAAGTTTTATCGTAGAATTACTGCAACAAAGCGAGAATTTAACCCAAATATTTTTCTCTCCGAAATCACAGCCTATCATAAAAATTCTAGAAAATCCACTTAACGTCTCTTCCCTAAGCACTATTCATCATTTGATCGAAGTTAAAGCATCAAGATGATGATAACCACACACACAGCTGAGTGCCACATATTGCAGTATCACTCAACCACTTGTAACAGTCATACACAATTGCAAGTTTCATTCGACCAAAACTAGGGGTGGCAAAAGGGCCGAGTCGTTCGTTAGCTCAGCTCGTCAAAGCTTGGCCCATGCATGCGACGAGCCCAAGCGCGATCCCAAGGGGGGGGGGGGGGGGGGGGGGG